GTATATGTGTGGACACGCCAAAGAGTTAATTTTCCCACAGCAGGGTGGAGTAATCCAACAAAAACAAACAAGGAATCAGACTGGCTTGACAAAAGCATTGTATGATTGTAAAAGGCAATAGGATGCAGGTTTTGGAAAAAACAAACTTTAAAAATTTTCTCTCTTATTACAACTAAAAGATGCTGCTGATGCCAGTCTGTGCTCAAGACTGGTCAACAAAAATACCTCTGGAGAATAGCCACCGCTGCCTCACTCCAGGCTAGCTCAAGGTAACCTCAGGGTAACTTACTTGGTGTTTGGCCAAAAGTCTGTTCTGGCCCTGGTCCTACCTCCCTGGTACCTGTTGAGTGCCTGCAGCAGTGTCTAGGTACCTCTTATCCCAGGAAGGTCTTTGTAAAGTGTCTAACCTGTGCTCTCCCTGTCAACTCTTTCTAGATGTTGTGCTCCTCTCCCTCTTACCACTTGAAAAGTTATAAAAAGCTTTGGAATACATTGATTTTGATTGTGAAATATATCAACTCAAGACTTGAGACACCCACTATCTTTTCATGTGTTTGACTTCCTAGGAGTTCATAGACTTGGAAGAGAACCCAGGGGTCCCACCCAGTAGAGCTCCCCATTTGCAATGGCATGGATAGGTGCCTGTTGCTGCCACTTTTGGTAATGGGGCACTGTTCTGTCTTCCTGTGTATGCCACTCACTTACTCACATCCTGATTCCTGAAGCTATGCTGAATATGCATGATCCAGCTTCCACCTGATAGCCTTTCAGGAAATACTGGTGACTCCTTTGAGTCTGCTTATCTTTAGGTGGAGAACTCCTTCCTCCCTTAACCCCTCCTCAGGCAGTGCCATTTTGAGATCTTTATCCTGACCCACAACACTTCTTCACTTTGTTATCCTCTCTCATTTATAGTGAAGGACTTAAAATGGAGAACATCCTACCCACTGCTCCCCATTCTAAACACTGGCATAGAATAGAATTTCACCTTACTTGCCCAGGCCTTTATACCTCTGTTGATATAGCCAGCTGTGGTACCTTTAGTTCTATTTGGCAGCTCTGTCAGACCTTTTCCCCTGACAAGCATCATGTCAACCTGTTTCTCACAGTCTGGTCTTCTCCTTGCAACAGCTCACTTGGGTCAATCAGGGCTATAACTCACCCAATGGCAGGATTTTGTATTTGTAATCCACTTAAGAATCAAGAAATATGAACTGTCCAGAGTTGTTGATTGAGGTCAATAGGCATAGTTCCTGTTGTCCACCTATTGTAGCATACTGTATGCTAACTTTTATTCAAAAAACCCAATTTGTGAATTTTCTTACCCAAAAGTCTCCAACCCATTGAGTTTTATGTTCTGACCTTGTTTTCTACTCATATGCCAGTTTCTTAGAAGTGGAGAGAGCTTCGAAGAGAGTGAAAAAAAATAATAATAAAATAAAAGAGACGTTGTTCTTCAACTCTTTTTTTGGGTGCTTTCCATTCAGAGATTGAATGGTTTCCCCTTAAGAATCCAGTCATATTTTTGCTGTTGCTGTGATTGCCTTTGGGGTCTTCTTCATAAATTCTTTGTCTAGGCCAATGTCTATAAGAGTTTTTTCAACGTTTTCTTCTAGAATTCTTATAGTTTCATGCCTTAGGTTTAAGTCTGTTATCCATTGTGAGTTGATTTTTGTGAGAGGTAAGAGATACGAATCCTGTTTCAGTCTAGTACATGTGGCTATTCAATTTTCCCAGCACCGTTTATTGAATAAGGATTCTTTTCCTCAGTGTATATTTTTGTCTGCTTTGTCAAAGATTAGATGGCTATGTGAGGATGGTTTTATATCTGAGTTCTCAGTTCTGTTCCATTGGTCTATGTCTCTGTTCTTGTGCCAATACCATGCTGTTTTAGTCACTCTAGCCTTTTAGTATAGCTTGAAGTCTGGTAAATGGATGCCTCCCAATTTGTTCTTTTTGCTTAAGATTGCTTTTGCTATATGAGGTCTTCTCTGGTTCCATGCAAGACATAGAATTATTTTTTCTAGGTGTGCAAAAATGATATTGGTATTTTAATAGGGATTGCATTGAATCTGTAGATTATTTTTGATAGTATAGACTTTTAACAATGTTGATTCTGCTGACCCATGAGCATGGTATGGTTTTCCACCTGTTTATATCCTTTGATATTTCCTTCTTCAGTGTTTCATAGTTCTCCCTATAAAGGTCTTTTACCTCCTTAGTTAAATATATTCCTAGGTATTTTATTTTCTTTGTTGCTATTGTCAAGGGTGTTGAGTCTTTGATTTGGTCTTAGTTTGACTGTTGTTGGTGTATAGGAATGCTACTGATTTCTGTACATTGATTTTGTAGCCTGAGACTTTGCTGAATTTATTTATCAATTCCAGAAGTCTCATGGCAGAATCTTTGGGGTTTTCTAGATATAAGATCATATCATCAACAAAGAGCAATAATATAACCTATTCTGCCCCCATTTGGATTCCCTTGATTTCCTTCTCTTGTCTGATTTCTGTGGCTAGGACTTCCAGCACTAAGTTGATTAGAAGTAGTGATAAAGGGCAACCTTGTCTAGTTCCAGTTCCAAGTGGGAATGCTTTCAATTTTTCCCCATTCAGTATGATGTTGGCTGTGAATTTGTTATATATGGCTTGTATCATTATTAGGTAAGTCCCATCTATGCCTGTTTTGTTAAGTGTCCTTATAATAAAAGGGTGTTGAATTTTGTTGAATGCTTTTTCTGCATCTATTGAGAGGATCATATGGTCTTTGTTTTTCCTTGTATTTATGTAGTGAGTTACATTTATAGATTTGCATATGTTGAACCATCCCTGCATCTCTGGGATGAAGCCCACTTGGTTGTGTGGATTATTTTTTTAATAAGCACCTGAATTTGGTATGCTAGGATTTTATTGAGAATTTTTGAATCTATATTCATAAGGGATATTTCTGTAGTTTTCTTATTTTGTTGCGTCCTTTCCTGGTTTTGGTATCAGGGTAATATTGGCTTCATAAAACATGTTTGAAAGGATTCCTTCCTTCTCCATGTTGTGGAATAATTTCTGCAGGGTAGGCACCTGCAGAAATTTGTTTGTAGGTTCTTTGTAGGTCTGGTAAAATTTAGGTGTGAAACCATCTGGTCATAGCAACAACAAAAATAAGTAAATGAGACCTTATCAAATTAGAAAGCTTCTGCACAACCAAGAAAATTATCATGAGAGCACACAGATAACCTACAGAATGAGAGAAAATATTCACATGTTACACATCCAATAAAGGGCTGATAACTAGAATCTACGTAGAACTCAGGAAAATCAGCAAGAAAAAAAATCAAACAACTCTATCAAAAAGTGGGCAAAGGACAAGAACAGAAACTTTTCAAAAGAAGATAGATTAATGGTCAACAAACATATGAAAATGCTCAACATCTCTAATTATCAGGGAAATGCAAATCAAAGCCACAATGATATATCACTTACCTCCAGTGAGAATGACTTTGATCAAAAAGTCCCAAAACAATAAATTTTGGCATGGATATGGAGAGATAGGAATACTCATGCACTGCTTGTGGGACTGCAAATTAGCACAACGTCTATGGAAAGTAATATGGAGATACCTCAAAGAGCTACAAGAAAGAACTACCATTTGATCCAGCAATTCCATTACTGAGCATCTACCCCCCAAAACAAAAGACATTCTATATAAATGAGATCTGCATTAGAATGTTTATAGCAGCACAATTCACAATTGCAAAGATGTGGAAACAACCCAGGTACCCATCAATATGTGAGTGGATTAATAAAATGTGATATCTGTATACCATGGAGTTCTACTTAGCCACAGAAAACAATGGTGATCAAGCACCTCTTGTAATATCCTGGATAGAGCTGGAGCCCATTTTACTAAATGAAGCATCACAAGAATGGAAAACGAAGCACCACACTTACTCACCATCAAATTAGTATTAACTGATCAACACTTAAGTGCACATATAGTAATGGCATTCATTGGGTGTTGGGCAGATGGCAGGGGGGAGGAAGGGATGGGTATATACACACCTAATGGGTGAGTGCGCACCATCTGGGGAATGGGCACACTTGAAGCTCTGACTCAGGTGGGGCAAAGGCAATATATGTAACCTAAACATTTGTACCCCTATAATATGCTGAAATAAAAAAATTTTAAAAAAAGAATACAGTCATAGTATTTTAAATTTAAATATATCATTTATTTCTCTGTTACTTCGAACCTATGGCAGCTGGGAGTGGGGACAGGGAGAAAGGAGAAGGCAGCATGTAATAGGGAAAGCCAGCAACTTCATGGGTATGTGACCCATGTAGTCACTCTGGGCTCTGTGTTTGACTTCATGCTCTGTTGTCACCATCTTGAAATTCTTGATTTTTGAAAAAGGGGCTATACATTTTCATTTTGCACTGGGCTCCACACATTTTGCAGCTGATCGATTCTGATTAGGAGCCTCCACCAGTCTTGGCATATGACTTCACCTCATGTCCACTGTGAGTGAAATGAAGCTGTTTCCACCTCTGGCATAAACAGAAGATATAGAGAAAGAGAGCAGTGTGCCCTGCTGAGAGTAGTGAATGGAACTAAAGCGTCACACAAGTTCTTTGACTTTATCTGGTTCAGGTCCTTCATTTTATCTTGGAAGAAACTCAGTTCTTAGTGGGAAAAATGGCTTCTTCGAGTCCCATAACACATCGGAGTAGAGTTGTCTCTGAGTAAGTATTCCCCAGAGAAGGGCTTGATGGGAAGGTGGTGGCTGTAAGCAGGGGGTGGCCAGTGATGGGCAAAGAAGGAAGAACGAGAGCAGACTATTCCTCCTGACTCTGGGCCTGGCCTTTATTTTGCTCCCTGAAACACACACACACACACACACACACACACACACACACACACACACACACACACACACACTCTCTCTCTCTCTCTCTCTCTCTCTCTCTAAAATAACATTGAGAAGTTTTTGTGTAAAACTTCCAGGGATGAATCCAAACCACTCAGAGTCCAGAGTAGAAAACTGAGCCCAGTGTTGTACAAGAACATGGAGAACTGCACCCAGGCCATCCTTTTGTGCACCTGCACCTTGCCAACTCCCTTTGTGTGTGCTGTGTATGTGCCCTCCCCTTTCAGTGCCATCCTGTCATCCTGTCTTCTTCCTTATCTAGGTAAGGGCAGAGTTCCCTCTTGGTTTGTCCTAAGCTTTGGCCCCAAGCTAAGTAAGGAGGATGACTCATCAGTAATCTTCCTATTTTCACAATTAAAACAATTCTAACCCAATCCACTTTCCCTTGCTATGGAAGACAAACTGCAGCCATGTTGAGTTTGTTAATGTTGAAAGAAGAGGTTGGAGAGGTGAAGAGTCTAAAGATGGTCCCCTGAAGAACACACACCTGGTTTAAGGTCTACTGCAGAGGTTAAGGACAAGAGGTTCTGAGCATACCCCATTTTATTTCATTCACTTATACAAAAAGTATACCAGTCCAGGCTCTGGGGCAGCTGCTGTGGATACAGGGAGGAATAAGGCAAAGTTACTTTCCTGGGTGTGTTGTGTGGGGCACACATTTATATCTACTGTGTTATCAGGCTGGCAGTGCCAGATTAATCCAGCTGGCTGTGTTGGAAGGTCCTTAAAAGAAATGCCATTTGAATTCTGCCTAGGAGGATCTGGAAGTTTGATAAGAAGAGATGGCAGAAGGATATTCCAAGGGGGCAGAGTCCACTGAGGTCTGAAAGATAAAGGTGGTTTTGAGGCACAGGAAACCATTGGTCTGGAATGGATGACATGTTGGATTTTGCCTGGTACTGCATGAGGTAGAGAAAAGCATGACAGAGCCACACCATGGAGTGACTTTACACTTCAGCCAATGGAGGGGAGTTGCTGGGCAGGAGGTCTTCCCCCCTCCCCTCTCACATCTCCAACAACTTGCAGTTAAATCTAGCTCCTAGACAAGCAGGTTGAAGGTAGAGAAGATGAGAGCCACAGTTCACAGGGCTCCTCCTCCAACAGTCCTAACAAGCTCTCCTGCTTGCTGAGGATTTAATCCACAAATGTGTATTCCACATCATCCTTTTGATACCATTGCACCTTTCCATCAACGAGTCTTATATTGACACCAAATTAAACCATAATCAAAGTTCTACTACTTAAGGTACTGCTCGATGTTGAAAAGATATATTGAACGAAATAAGATAACAGCCTTTGTGTGCCAAATTTACACTATATTTTTACAACAGTTCCATGGATTTGGTACAGATGATAAACTGACTTTAAAAAGTTAAGTATTTTGCCCAAGGTCATGCAGGGAGTGAGTGGCTGAGCCTGGATTCAAACCCTAGAAACTTCCCCAAGCTCAGGTTCCTCATCTGTTATGTGAGGGGACAATAAATACATCATAGTACAGCTGAAGATGAAATGAGTTAGCATGAGGGAAACCCCAGCACAGTGCCTCATACCTAGTTCCTGTTGTTACTTTTATTGCTTTCCAGAAAGTGAGTGCCATGGCAAAGTTGGGACAAAGTCACAGGGCCATCTGAGCTCTCCCCAGGTTCATGTCCTCTGTGCATCCCTATACTGTCTTCCTGCAAAATAATACAGCATATTTTGGTGTAGCCTCTCAGTATGAACACTAAAGGCAGAAATAGACTACAGAAGGAAGTGGCATTAAAGTGATTCTAGAATAATGATCACAGAATAGGTAACTAGTCTGAAGTATGTGCCAATTCTCCATTCTTTGGGGCTCACCAAGCTCCCTCACAGGATCAAATCCAATTCCAGGGAAAACTATCATCTGGGACGGTTGGACTGCTGCTCCTCATGGCCTGCCTTCAGATGACAGCAGTGTGACCATGGATCTTTGCTTCTAAAGCAGTGGCCATATCGAAAAAGGCTTTGGAACTTGGCAGACTTGGGTTTATATTCTTATTCCAACACTTGTGCGCTCTCTGATCATTACTTACCTAGTTTCTTTCAATTTCAGTTTCCTCCACTGTCAAATGGGAATATTAATACCTAGTCACAGGGTTTTATTGTAAGATTATATGAAAACAAAAATTATATACAGGGCTTCATACTGTATCTCACTAATGGGAAGCTCTCAGTGCATGGTAGCTTTTTCTATAAGAAAGTTTAGCATCTTTTATAGAAGGGTTGTTGATGAGTCTTAGATAACAGTCCATGTACTGCATATATTTTTTATAAATATCTCTTTGGAAGAGAGAGCCATTTCTTTCACTCCAGCTCTCTCTGTGACATTACACAGAGAAATGTGCAAGAAACCAGAAGGAAGACCGGGAGAGATTTGCTGTAAGCCTGAAGTTTACTCTAAACAGACCTGCTACATGGAAGACTACTTACATAAAGATAAATCACAAAGCAGTTACTCACTTAATAAAGGACTTGGAAAAGTATATGTAATCCATCCTAAAGTAGTTTAGAAATGTTTAAATGCAAAATAATAAATTTATATCAGGATCTTGGGTGATTATTTAAAATTTATTTTTCATGTTATCACTGTTTTTCTCCTAAAAAGATACAAAACCAATTAAGTAAAAAATATAAAAGTGATTAAGTATTTTAAAAATTATCTTTTTTTCAGCTTTCTAGGAGCACATAATTGTTTTAAGTGTAACACATATGTGCTTTATTTCCTTTATTGTTTCTTTTTTGCTGTCTATTTTTAATGTCCATTGTTATATATTGATTTTTTTTTTTTTTTTTTTTTTGCGACAGAGTCTCACTTTGTTGTCCAGGCTAGAGTGAGTGCCGTGGCGTCAGCCTAGCTCACAGCAACCTCAAACTCCTGGGCTTGAGTGATCCTTCTGCCTCAGCCTCCCGAGTAGCTGGGACTACAGGCATGCGCCACCATGCCCGGCTAATTTTTTATATATATATCAGTTGGCCAATTAATTTCTTTCTATTTATAGTAGAGACGGGATCTCGCTCTTGCTCAGGCTGGTTTTGAACTCCTGACCTTGAGCAATCCGCCCGCCTCGGCCTCCCAAGAGCTAGGATTACAGGCGTGAGCCACAGCGCCCGGCTATATATTGATCTTAATGCCATTATTTCTTATTTATTTTGGTTCTTTTATATTTTTAGGTTATATCTTTTTGAGGCTAAAACAGCTGGTTCATTTGGTCAGTCAAATAATTGTTAATTTAATTTTAGGGGAAAAAACCAAATTCACGAAACAAAAAAAAAAAAAAACTAAACTAAATCAAACCAAACTTAACCAAACAAAAAAACCTCAACAAAAACCCAACCCACCATCACTAACCACAACATTCAAACCCTATCCAGACTTTGTCTTAGGTACTGAGTGGACCAACTTCAAAGGGCTGACTGTGCTATTCAGTTTTTATTGGCAATGTTCTTGAAGCCACTCTTCTTTTGCTCATAAAGTTAGCTAAAATAATCTATCATTTACTTATCCCCATTCTAATCCTTTTAGCTAACGAAGGTATTTCGTGGTATTTTTCTATTACTGGAGTGGTTGTCATTTTCAAGTAATGAAGAAATTATTTTTTAGTCCCACACTCATCACTTATGATCAAGTTACAAAATTGGCCTATGACTCAGCTTTCTCAACTGTAAAATGGGGGACTGCTATGAGGATCAAATTAGATAAGAGATGTGGAAGATACGGAAGAGGATGTACACATGCAGGTGATTATTATCCCTCATTGAAATCTTATTGCAAACCTATGTTTTTTCCAAAGAGATGATAGTTAACTTCAGTAGTTTATGGAATAATTTGGGACTAGAAGAATAAGTACCAGCTTCTATTTATTTTGAAATATCTTAATTTTTTATGGAATGATTAAATCATGTCTTAGAAATATTTAAAAATTATCATTTAACTGAACTTAAAAGCAAGGGTTCTATGGGACTCTAAATAATTTTAAAGAATTCTTAGCCTCCTAAATTCTTATTCTTGAGTCAGTTTGGAGCTACTTCCTTTGTTCTTGTGGGTTATAGATTAGTTTTATAACCTACATGAATAGATGATCTCCTAGAATTAAAAGGTGTGGGGCATCAGATTGTCATATCTGTTGTTTTCATGAATCTGTATAAAAGAATATAAATCAATCTAATTTAATCCATCCCAATTCAATAAACATAGATGAGCATTCCAGTGGGTGCCAGGTACCAGTGTAGGGACGGGAGAATAAGATGATGATTATGGCCAACTATGGGTTGTGGAGGATGATGTGCACCTATGCAAGTTAGCTTGCTTGAAACTTTTGCTTTTTGCATCATAAGAAAACAATAATTTAACATTTGTGTTATTTCAGACTTTATGGCCTATAAAGTATCTTATGTAACTTTTATTTTATCTTAATAATAATCACAGGAGACAGATATTCACTATTTCTCTCTTGTAGGTGAGAATCCTGAGATTTATCAAGGTTAAAAGTTGTTTAAACATAGGCCCCCAGCTAGTTTGTGGCAGGACCAAGATTCACACACATCTGCACCTGAATTCTATGTGTGCTTTTTTCCCCTTTCTTACATCACACAGCATCCATCTAAAAAACCATCAAATAAATTATGGTTTTAATTTTTGTGTTGTAACATGGCACAAAAAACATTTGTTTCTCTGTGCCAACCTCACTACTACCCATCTGTCTATTCTCATGACACATTAGAGCTTTGAACTTCTTGGAAGAAAGGAACTATCTAAATTTGAGGTATTATTATTATTGTAGTTACTATTAGCCAAGACAAATGAAAAGTGGTGAATAGAGCATCTCTTGTCTTACTAGAACTCTTTAATTAAGAAAACTGTTTTCATTCCCTCCAGCTATGTAATGATTAATGCAACACAGTGTGATACATTCAGAATTTAAGACATAGCTCACTGAGACCAAGCAATGAGTTCACTTCTCTGAAGAGAAGTGAATGGAGGCCAGATCGGACCCAATGATGACATCCAATTTCTATAGCAAAACTTCATGCAAGATTTTGCAAATTCTAGATAAATTATATATTTATAGTCTAGGAATCATAAAGTTACTGGTAGAATAGGGATTCTTTTTCCAAGTGTATGTTTAAATGGTACTGGTAAAATTGGATAGCCACATGTACTAGGCTGAAACAGGATCTGCACATTTCATCTTTCACAAAAATCAATTCATGATGGATCACAGACTTAAACCTAAGGCATGAAACTATAAAAATTCTAGAAGAAAATGTTGGAAAAACTCTTATAGACATCAGCCTAGACAAAGAATTTATGAAGAAGACCCTAAAAGCAATCACGGCAAAAACAGAAATAAATATATGGGACTTGATCAAATGAAAAAGCTTCCACAAAGCCAAAGAAACTATCATTAGAACAGATAGAAAACCTACAGAATGGGAGAAAATATTTGCAGGCTATATATCTGATAAAGGGCTAATACCTAGAATCTACATATAACTCAGGAAAATCAGCAATAAAAATAAAGCAATCCCCCTTAAAAAGTAGGCAAAAGACATGAACAGAAACTTTTCAAAAGAAGACAGACTTATGGTCAACAAACATATGAAAAAATGCTCAACTTCTTTAATCATCAGGGAAATGGAAATTGAAACCACAATGAGATATCACTTAGCTCCAGTGAGAATGGCTTTTATCAAAAAGTCCCAAAACAACAAATGCTGGCATGGATGTGGAGAGATAGGAACACCCATACAATGTTGGTGGGACTGCAAACTAGTACAATGTCTATGGAAAGTAGTATGGATATACTTCAAAGAACTAAAAGTAGAACTAGCATTTGATCTGGCAATCCCACTACTGGGTAACTATCCAAAGGGAAAAAGACATTCTATAAAAAAGACATCTGCACTAGAATGTTTATAGCAGCACAATTCACAATTGCAAAGATATGGAAACAACCCAGGTGGCCATCAATCCATGAGTGGATTAGTAAAATGTGGTATATGTACACCTCGGAGTTTTACTCAGCCATAAAAACAATGGTGAACGACCTCTTGTGTTATCCTGGATATAGCTGGAGCCCATTCTTTTAAGTGAAGTATCACAAGAATGGAAAAACATGCACCACATGTACTTGCCATTAATTGGAACTAATCAATCAACACTAATGTTCACATATGGAAAGTAACATTCCTTGGGTGTTGGGCAGGTGGGAGTGGGGAGGAGGGAATAGGTAAATTCACACCTAACAGATGTGATGTGCTGTCTGGGGGATGGGCACCCTTGTAGCTCTGACTTGGGCAGTGCAAAGGCAATTTATGTAACCAAAGCATTTGTACTCTCATAATACTCTGAAATTAAAAAAAAAAGGGGGGATCGGTAGAGCTAATTTTTTTTTTTTTTTTTGAGATAGAGTCTCACTCTGTTGCCCAGAGGCTAGGCTACAGTGCTGTAGCCTCAGCCTAATTCACAGCAACCTCAAACTGCTGGGCTTAAGCGATCCTACTGCCTCAGCCTCCAGAGTAGCTTGTACCACCATGCCCGGCTAATGTTTTCTATGTATTTTTAGTTTTCCAGCTAATGTCTTTCTTTCTTTTTTTTCTTTCTTTTTTTTTTTTTTTTTTTTTTTTAGTAGAGACAGGGTCTCACTCTTGCTTGGGCTGCTCTCCAACTCCTGAGTTCAAATGATCCACCCGTCTCAGCCTCCCAGAGTACTAGGATTACAGGTGTGATCCGGCCTGGTAGAATTAATTTCGAATAAAAGTCTTTTTAACAGGTAGAACTGAAAAAAAGAGAAAAGAATTTTGGCTTCCTAGAGCAAAGAGAAAAAATTAAAAGGAACATAGTTGATTAATTGCTTTATCATACAATAACCTTTATAGCTACACAAAGAAAATAATGCACAGTTGTCAGTATAATAGGAACAAAGTAGAATTGCCATAAAAATAATTAAATAATTTAATTTTTCTCGATCTGGTTGCCAACTTATGGCTGCTGGTGGAGACTGTAGGTGTATATATTCAATTAACTGTTTTTATCTTTTAGAGAGTACCGGGCTGCCACTTAATAGCTGTGTGATATTGGGCAATTTGCCTAAACTCCCAGAGGCTCAGTCTCCTTGTCTGTGAAATGGAGGAAACAATACCCACCTCACGGGTTTCTATCTATAAACTGTGTGCTTCGAATATAGGGTCTAGCTCAAGTAAGTGCATAATAAATCATAGCAAAGATGCCACAGCTGCTGATGGTATTTTGGCATCAGGCTTTCACCACCTTTTTGAATAGGCCAAGAAAGTGTTGCTCAACCACTGGTCTTTGGATTCCACTGGCAGAGGTTGGGTCTCAGCCACAGGCCTGGCTCACTTCTTAGGAATTTGGCTGTGGCCCATAGCCCTATATCTAATCCTTTTATTCTGTCCCAAATCTCCAGCCTGCCCTACATTTGGCAAGAGGTGATGAGAAACCCAAATAAGGAGCTCTGTTATGCTACCTGTGTCCTTGGGTATTAGAGAATAGTCACCCAGTCCTTAGGCTCACAGCATCTTGAGCCTCTGGTTCTCCTGTGACTGTGGTGGAATGTTTGTGAAACTATCACCATCCGTGGGATTCTGGAGTCATCACCACGGGTTATGAGGGACAACAGCTGGTAAGATGAGAGTCAGAATCTTGATTGGACTCACCTCTGTACCACTGACTTCTTTTTTGTTGTTGTTTAGGTATAACTGACATACAAAAAAGCTGTGCATATTTAATATATACATCTTCATGAGTTTGAGGATAAGTACATATACTTGTGAAACCATCATCATAAACAATGTTATTAACATAACCATCATCCCTAAAAGTTTCCCCTCTCTTTTTTTTTTTTTTTTTGTGATAAGAGTATCTACCCTGGTAAAAAATTTTTAAATATACAATACAGTATTGTTAGCTATATGAATCATGCTGTACAGTAGCTCTCTAGGAAATAGTCATCTTGTACAGCTGAAACTATGTATGCTTTGACTACATTTCCCCAATTTTCCAGACCTCCAGCCACTGAAAACCAGCATTCTTTTCTCTGCTTATAGGAGTTTGACCTAGATTCTTGATATAAGTGGGATCATATAGTATTTGTTCTTATGTGTCTGGCTTACTTTAATAAGCATAATGTTTTCTAAATTCATCCATACTGTAGCAAATGGAAATATCTCCTTCTTTTTAAAGGATTAATGATATTCTATTATGTATATATACACGCACACCTTTTCTTTATTCATCTATTGATGAATTTTTGAATTGGCTGCTCATGTCCTTTGTCATTCCTTTTTTATTTGTATAAATTTTCCCACTCATTGGTTAATAGTTATTTGTATATTGGAAATATTATTCCTTGAGCTAAAGCCCAACATCAGTGGATCAGAAAACCCAGAGGGTAAAAATAAGGTCATGGTTAAGCACATTAACAGATGCACAGGGTAAGGATGTTTCCAAAAGTCAAGGATCCAGATATAGACAGAACATCTGAGTTATTGGGAAGACTAAAGCTCTGAGGTTGGATCCAGAGAATCACAGTCCATTCCCTATTATGTTTTGGGAGAGACAATAATTGCCTCTCAAAACTGTAGCAGACAAAATGGAGGCATCGATAGTTCTCAGTGGACTAGTAAACAGAAACAAGGATTGATTTTCCTACCTTTTTGCTATAGACTTAGTTTTGATACTCTCTCTTGAATATATTCTCTTATATAAGACAGTTTTTGTTTCTTTTTTCAGTAAGTCACAGTAATAACAAAAAATAATTATTAATCATTGCTTGTAAACATAATTAGATGTTATTATATAATGGTTATCTACATACTGGAAGGTTACTGGTAGGTAGCTATTAACATATCTTGGTCACTTACTTATAAAATTAAGTGAAATTCATATGAAAGTCTTCCTGGAAAATTGAGTAGCAGAAAGTCTTCCTGGAAAATTGAGTAGCAGTCTTGTTAAACACACTTGGAGGCCAAAAGATAATACAAAACATTCTATTACCTGTACTCTCAGGCTGGCTTTCCATTTGGATGGATTCTGCTTTAACATTGAATGGCCCGCCATCCTTCCCTTTCATACCCTCTGCTTTCTCCCACCAGGGTCCTGGTTCAGTCTTACTACTGCCCTTTTTTAGCTAAGTTTGGAGAAAGCCTGATCTTTTCCTGGTTCTATCCTGGGAACACAAGTGTGATTCCTAACATTGTTTAGTGTAGACCTTTTATGGACAAATAAACAATCCTGGTAATATTGATACCTTCTCAGAGCAAATCTCTGACACATTATTATACTATAAGATATTTTCTGAGCTCCAAGAGATGTTAGAAAGGACATTGTAGAGGATAATAAAGAATTTGAAAGGGACAAAAACTCTATAATGCCAAAGCCTATAGATTTGCTGTCATAACCTCAGGACCCTTGGCATTTAAAAACCTTACCAGGAGACAGCATGGCCTACTGGACAATTCCTGAACGAAGAATAGGAGGAACTGATTTGAGTCCAGATACTGTCACTCACCCCCATGACTTGTTGGCAAGTCATGTCTCTCTCTTTCTGAGTAGCAGTATCTTCATCTGTAACATAAGGGAGTTATACTAATTCAGTGACTTCAAACCCCTTTTTTATACTTATAGATCTCTTTCTTTAAATAAATGTTCTTGGGATCATAAATGAAATATTCAAGCAGAGTTGCTCTACTTGAAGTTTGGGTGGTTGTGGGATTCAAGGCCCTGCCCATATACACCACTTCCCTCCATTTGTGGTTAACAGTTTAACACCACTGGAATAGATGATATCAGAGGTCTTTTCCAGCTCTAAAATTTTGCTTTGTAACCTCACACAAAGGCAATAGCTTAATGAAAGTCAGCATATACATACATATGCAATCCATGTTAAATCTCAGCCCAACATAAAGTTATTCTTTAAGGACAAGTGAACAACTTACAGTTATGTTGGAGACAGTAGATTTCAAAGAAAATCAGGAGTCAAGTTTGGGAACAGATTTCATTCCTTTAATATCTCTTTAAGCATAAATGCTTTAAATCAAATTCATAGAACATCAGTGATTTTGAGATTCTGGAAAGCCATACATGGTTCACAGTGCAGTATTTCCAAGCAAGTTTGATAGGTTTGTATTAGATCACTGAGTGCTTTGGTGAACTGGGTACTGAATACAGAGTAGCTTTGAGGTGTTGGGGTCATTCCACCAGAAGTATCAGTGGCTCTGGTTTGCCACCTGTTTGGTTGATTGATAATTACAGTGTTTGATTCATAGGTGGCCCTCAGAAATATCTTTTGAGAGAATGGAAGAATGGAGTGTGAAAAGTCAGGTCACTGAAAGGTTCTGGTGGCCACTAATACCAAGACTTAATGAGAAATATCCTAATAGTTGACACAGATGTTTAGAGATATGTCCAATTATTGTTCTTATGCACATGTGACAATGGGAACATGAACTTTTGAGCTTAGATCATAAGTCCATAAAATGAGAGGGGAATACACAGGGCTTTTGTTTTATGCCGACAGGAACAGTAATAGCTAGAAATCAGGCCTTTAAGAATGATCTTTACAAAAAGTTGATGATCTCATTCATTTAAGAAAAAGGAGAAATGTATGTTTTTAATGTCATGCTGCCTATGCCTCATTGATGGTGATCAGAAACTCTTTAGTCTAGAATTGGCTCGTCCACTAGCCACTTGGAATAAAACCTTTTGGTTTAATATAGGCAAAGGCAGGAAAGAATATCCGATTGACAGAATCCTAGTTCCCTTCTCTTTACAATGAGTTGAACCAATTCCTAATCTTGATTTTGTGATTTCAAACTACATAGAATATATTTGAAATCTGAACCCAGTTTTTAAATTAGGGATAGTTACTAAATTTTTATACAGTGTTGTAAAGTTTATAGAGCACGAAGGCAGCATTTCCTTTGTGTGTTCAGAGAAGATGTGACTTCTGAGATGCTCCCTGACAAAAGGGTTCTAAAGGCAAATAAATTTTACTTAAATTGTGTAACAGAATAAGTGTTGGGTAAAAATTATTTTGGCTATTTATAAATTAGGTGAAATATAGCTGAGAGTTTGTGTCACTTAAAATCTTGTTCTACTTAAATATAATTTTTAAATACTACAGATTAATACCAAAAGTTACTTATTTGACTTACTGAGGAAATGAGCTTCTTAAATAAATTTTTATAAAAACCAATGCAAAGTAGAAAATAATTTTATTGGAATCATTTAATAGAAAATGATCAAAAACAAATTAACTTCATGCTTTCTTAAAAAGAATATAGTAGATGCAATAGCTTTCCTCTAATACTTCAGGGTTATTAGCAAAAATATTGAGCAATATTATAATATAGTAAGTCCTTCAAAACTCTGCATAACTCTGTGTCCCCAGACTCCTGAGTTCTTTGAGTTCTTTTGCACACTTCATTGGCAGGCTTTGTCATTTCCTTTTCTGAACTCATCACCTGTCACTTCTTATTTCCTGCTCTGATCTCTACCAGCTTTCATCTGATGTGATGTGGGATAGGCTAGTGCAGTTTTAGAACCATGTATAAAGTTTTTAGAACATTCTGAGAGGCATAATTTTAGTGAAGTGTATGAGTATTATTTTAAAGTCATGATATCTAGGGAATATATTTTTACTGTTCTTTTATTTCTGCTTATTCCTTGTATATGAATAATTGCTATTTTGAGCATGCCATGTGTCTACTTCTTAACATATATGATTAATGGATGTATTCCTTTATTTTTTAAAATTGACATATTGTTATTATACTATAAAAGACCACTGATTTCATTCTCAATTATCCATATCTATAGATTTGCCTGACAGCTCCAGTTAGTCTATCACCAATGTTCTTTCCATTCATCTAATGGCAACATATAATTACAAATAAATAAGAATGAAAGACTTATTCAGTTTTATGGTTGCAAACATGAATTTTATAAAATGAATGAATGCCATAGCACATAGCTGTCCCAATCACACCAAAGGAAAGATTTGCACATGACCCTAAGTGATAAATGGGACATCTGTAATTTCTACTCAAACCTACTGGTTCAGTGGTGTTTCCACTGTGCACTACTTTTGATAAATTGATCACATTATATCACACTCTTGTACTTGTTCGTATCTCTACCAAAAGAATTCATGTACAAATTTCTGAAATTGCATTTTGCCTGGAAACCAATTTTCTTTCACGTCCTTCCAGAAATGTTCATAAGAAGTACAGAGAGTAAAGTAAGTAATCTTTACACGCAATACACAGGCTCTGTGTATTGAAATCAAACAGAAACATTTCAATCCAGTAGACTGAATACTAAGCTAGATATAAAAAAAAAATCTCCAGAAAGCTCAGGTCTAAATCCCTTGAAGCAGCATGGTACAAAGAACAGAACTCAGGACTTCATGTCTGGAGGCCCAGACTAGTCTAGATCTAGAAAAGCATGAGTCCACCACTAACTAGTCATATGACTGTGGATAAGTCCCTTGTTTTCTCTAAAACCTCATTTCCTTCCTCTTAAAATGAGGAGTT